CCGCACGGTCACGGACCGCAAGAAGTTCGAGGAGGGCATCTTCTCCGACTTGCGCAACCTCAAGGCCGGCACGGACTCCGTGTTGGAGAACCCCAAGCTGGAGTTCTTGGAGTTCCTCTACAAGAACTCGTGTCTCCGAACGCAGAAGAAGCAGAAGGTGTTTTTCTGGTTCAACGTGCCCCACGACAAGCTCATGGCCGACGCGCTAGAACGCGACATCAAGAAGGAAAAGGCCAACCAGACGCCCACGTCCGTGGCGCTGCGCGAGCCCGCGCTTCTGTTCAACTATGTCGAGGACAAGACCAAGTCGCTATACGACCAGCTCTCCGAGCACTTGAGCCAGCCGAGATTCGACACCGTCAAGCTGGAGCTGCAGAGCGGGCTGGCCTCGCCGGACGCCAACACCAGCACGCTAGCGGCGCTGAAACTCCCCAGCGACTCCAGCTGCGCCAGCACCGGCTACCGGAAGATGCCCGGGGACGCATGTGAAAACGTGCTTGTGCAGCAGACGGCTGGCCCCGGCGCTGAGCCCGACGACGACGACGACTTCCCGCTCGACTACCTAGATCACGGCCTCGCCACACACGACAACATGAGCGGAGCCGACTGGGCCGGCCGCGATTACGCCGGCCGCGACTACATCACACTCGACAGCCACCACCACTCGGGCTCGTACATGAACGCATTCGACTCGGACTTGGCCAGTTTGGACGCGTCCGTTTTCCAGAACTCCGTCAACGTGGTGAGCAACGACGACTACTTGATTGAGCAGACCGTGCCCGCGCGGGCCGGCAACTTGAGCTCGTCGCAGCTCTACTACCCACGCCTGGCAAAGTTCTATGACGAGCAGGCGTTCATGCACCAGCCGCTTAGTTTCGGAATGGGCCCCCAGTTTCCCCCGTCGGCGGTGATGACGCTGCTTGGGCCCTATGCGTACGACACAGGCTACCACGTGTACGAGCCCCCCATGCACCCCCATATCCCCTTTGAGAACGAGTACCTACATCCACAGTTGACGCCGAGTGGCCCGATGTACCCCATGGCACACGTGGGCCTGGGCCACCCGGAGGACTTCGACTATCTCATGCGCAGTGGCATCCCGTCCCAGCGACAGCAAGAGATCAGTGCTTCCATGATGAAAAAAAGACGGCAGCTCCTGACCAACACGTCCAAGGTGACCAAGCCGCCGCATCGCACCCATGGGAATAAGGTCTCTGATTTCGAGTCCAACTTCCGCGTGCAGATCAAGAAGGAGGATGACCTGCTGGCTGTGATGCCCACGCCGGAACCTTCCATACACGTGTCTGCTTACAACGGAAGCCAACACAACAAAAACATGTAGTCTCATAATGCGAGGCATTTTGCATCGTCACATATAAACAACCTAGTGTGTCATCCGTCCATAGTCATTCATTCATCTTCTTTTGTACAGTCCATTGGAACATGCGCTACTTTTCCTGGCTAAAGTATTCTATGATGCGCTGTTGTGGCGTCGTCAAAGCCAACATGATCTTCTGTACTGCCTCCTCGCTCGATATCTCGTGCGGAAGCGTGTCCTGGCTTCCTGAACCTTGGCTGATCTTGGCGGCCCGGTGGATCCGTCCGTAGGTTTCAATGACTAGCTTTCGGATCTCTGCTCTGTCGTGGGAGACAAGCCTGCGGACTGCTCCATCGATGCTCATGACAATATCAGCATTCACATCCAACACAAGCGTCTCCATGTGGACCAATTTGTGCAACGATTCGAGGGCGAATCTCAAAGCCCCTCCAGCAAGGTCGACGTTCGTTTTCAAAGTATGTGTCACAATCTGGATTAGCTCCTTGCTTGCGTACATCCCGCAAAGCATCTCATCGAATGTTTCTCCAACAGCAAGCTCGAGAGCACGAAGGGGCTCATCGGGCTTCATTCCGCTCAAGTCTAGGAGCAAGTTCCAAACTCGCACAACATTGACGGCGTGTCTGCTCACCAACAATTGTTTGATCACCATGAGTCCTTCAAACAAGTTTGAATCATCAAGACTTAGGTAGTCTATTGCAGCATTCTCAACTAGGTCGTATCCTTCATCTTGCAAAAAGGACGCAAGAGATTCGGGATCAGGAACCCGCAAGTATTTGATCAAGGTCGAGATACAATTCTCATTTGCCGAGCCATCTGACAATTTTTGACACAAGGACCTGAAGTCGTTTTTGTAGTATCTCTCGAGGTCATCTAATCCATAGTCAAGAGACATCTTCGCCATCAAGAAATTAAACCAGTTGAGCTCCGTGAAATCATATTCTTTCACTTTCTGCGGTGACCCGGCCTTGGAATCGTCGTAAATCGCTATGGGCCGATTCCGGCTAGATAATTTGTTGAGTGGATCGACTTTCTCGATGAATGTTTCGATAGTGTTGGCTTGACTCGTGAGTTTTACTGATGCAAAGTCTTTGACCAACTCATTCAGATCTTTTACAGCAGCACCACTTAGGGAAGTGTGCGGAGATGACTTCTTAAGGACATTGAAGTCAGCGGTTTCAAGCTTAACTTCGACTGCACCATCTGTTTGTGGCGTCTTCTCCTCAGACGGATCCCGAATATTGCAGTCACTCATAGACTCATCATCGGGGTTGTTTTCACTGTGATTCTCATCAAAGTCTTCCATCAAAATGTCTTCTTCCGGTACAAGTTGCATCTGAGGAGGATCTTCGAGGCATATACGTTGCTCTGCAGATACATCAGTGATGCTGACCTTGTGTGAACCCTGTGAGCTAATTTGACTTTCCTCCGGATGTGTGTCGGGTTCTGCCTTGACCTTAGTGTTGGGGAGAAGCATGGTAAAGTCAGATGGAAACTTTAAAGGGGACAATTGTTCAAGGTTTTTGTTGGGAGAGATTCGGGTAAAGTCTGTCATGTTGAACATAGTCGGGTCGGTGCTTTTAAAACTCAACAGGTCGTCAATTCCGACCAAAAGCTCAAGCTCTCGTCTGCTTGAATCCTTGACCAGCGATAGGTGCGAGGCAAACAATGTGGAATTGATGGCATAGAGCTTAGAAAGAGGTTCTTTAAACTCTGCCATCATGTTCGTCTGATGAATCACGGGTAGCAACTCAAATAAGGTATTGGCTAACTTAGTTAACATCACATCTGTCATGGGCAAACTTGTTGCTGCACGTGAGAGCAAACGCAAAACCATGATTAGAATCTTAACCTTGAACTTAATCAATTGCATGATCAAGAGGCCATCGTCGGCAACATCGGTTGGTTCAAGAACAAACAGAAGCAAAGTCTCCAAGGACAGGTATAGTTCATCAGCTGTGAATAAAGAGATCACCATGTCTAAGTTTTCTTGAGTTGGTGTCACCAAGACACATGCCAGTCTGAGAAAGTCTTCTTTTGTGAGAAGCTTGAACACTCTTCGCAACATGCCTTCTTTATTATCAAACAAAGGCGCAAGTACGGATGGGTTGTTGATCGAGAGCTTTTTAAGTAAAGGGGTCAAGCTCTCTGAAATTTCCTCCCCTTTCAATAGTGCTGATCGGAGCAAACTAATGCCCTCTTGTAATAATTGCTCATCAGTGGAAGCTAGGAATTTGAACATAGGGTCTCCGGCCCCAAAAATGTAACTTTTTGGCTGTTGCATACTTTTTGCTTCTCTAGCATTTGACTGGAAGGCAGTAGTAACTTGTTGCTTTGACCCACTAATGTTTGTGATTGACTCATCTATCTTGTGCTCCCAGTGAGACTCTGGCAATACTTTGCCTTGTGTCGTACTCAATTTAGGAGACGGATGAGAGAAAGTGGGTTGAGCATAGTGTGGTTCAAAATCATTTCTTGGAGAGGCATGGGGCCGCGCAAAAGGTTTGGCGATTCCGTCCGGCGATAGATGTCCCGACTTATCGATCTTTGCGGCACCCTTGTCCAGGAAACGGTCATGGATGGATTTCGCTTCATGAATATGACTTGTAGGAGTCAGATCCCGCGATCTCATGTGGTCTTTAAAAGAAGGAGTCCTCAGCATTCGGCGGGGGAAGTTGGATGACACCGAACTTTCGGTAAATGATCCATTTGGGCCAGTCAATTCGTACTTGGACACCGATCTCGACTCGCTCGTCTTGTTTTTAAACTCTCTTTTTTTTGCCATGATAGACTCTTTCAACGATGGTCTCACTTTTGAGTTTGTCGTCACTGGAGCTGCAGAGATAGTTATTCCCTTCGGACGAGACCTTTCCAACGCTCTATTTATGTTTGGGTCCAATTGTGAGCGTAGATTAACGGCTGGTTCTTCGGCATATTCACAATACTTCCAAAAGGCATCTTTAGCTGCCAGGCGCACTTGCATGTTTGGATCCGGGAGCAATTTGAGTAGAACTCTCTCTACAATTTCAGAACCTGAGCCTCGCCACAGGTTGTGTGTCCTGACGATGAAAATTTGTAGCCATGAAGAAGCAAATGCCTTGGTGTTCACACTTTTCTCTGATGCTGCGTGTAAAATCCTTTGGCCGAGTTTGGCTGAGAGAGGGCAGTGAGTTAGAATTCCGCACATTGCCACATGAGCGTTGATGTTAGTCAAATGCTTTGTGTTGGAGCATAATTTTATGAGCGTTGGAACGAAGAGATCGACTAGGGGCTCGAAGTGGATGCGGAACAAAAATGCCATTTCCTTCACAAATTGACACGAGTTCACAGATAATGTGGTTCTCAAAGACGAAAGAGATTTGCAAATACCTTCACTAAGTTCCTTGATGGAGATAATGAGATCACTGAGATATTCATTGGCCGCGTTACCCCTCAAAAGTGAACGCAATTTGAGTATACTCTTTTCACGTGTACTCCAGTTGCGTTCGGTCTCTTTGTTCTCAAAGCATTGAGACATTTCAGAAACCATCTGGCTAATTTCGCCAGCATTAGATACATTAAAGGACTCGACGGTTTCATCGTAGGCATAGTTTGGAAGCTTGCAGAGAATATCGCGTAACGCGGGTTCCGAACTGACCCCGGGAGCCTGAGCTGACTGTATCAGCTGATTCGGCGGTGGACTTTCTGGGAAGCGAGATCCTGCAGAATTAACCGAAGGTTTGTCGGCCCAAATTGAAGGCGAATTTTGTGAGGGCCGTGCGACGGTCGGCTTTGCCATCTGGGAATGCGGTAGACTGGGCGTACTCTTGGAATGGTATAGCAGCTCTGAGGTGCGCGAGATGATGGAGTCGGTTCCCATGATAGAGAACCGAAGCACAGAGGGGACACGGCTGCGCTCGAGAGCCTTCTGGAGTTCGAACTTTCGTATGCGGTTCTGCTTCAAGTCGTAATAGTTCTCGAGCAAGACCTTGATATTGGAAACAAGCTTTTCGTCCGAGGCGTGCTCGCATAATATGCGCGCCAACGGGTCTAGAAAGGTGTCGAGCTTGAAATGCGGGCTCACGTTCGTGAGGATGTAGTTGAGCCACGCCACACATTCGTTTACGAGGAGCAGGCTGCGGTTGGCTAGGCCGATTTCCACCATCGCGAGCTCGACAGGTTTGGGGCAGCTGAGCCAGTAGGCTTCGAGCGCCCGTCGTGCGGACACTTTGACGGAGGACCTGGAGTCGGCAATGCGTGGGATGAGCAATGGAAGCACCAAGAAGGTCTGGTCCAGGAGCACCGTGCCCCTGGAGTCTTGGATACTCACCCGCTTAACGAGGTGGCACAATAAGCTGAACGCCAATGTCTGGAGAGATGTATCGGGCGAATCAGTGGCGATGGAGAGCGCCTCGAAATACTTGCCCACCCACGGCAACAGCACGTTGTCTTTCTTCACGTGGGTTTTGAGCTCCTGGAGCACGGTGTGTTTTTCCTCCGCGGAGCCAGAGCGCACGACGCTAAATACATTTGCACCCGAGAGATCCATGTGGCAAGTGAGCGTGATCTCTGTGGGGGAAGAGGCAGGGGGATCCGGGCGTTGGTTTGAGTCGTAAAGTTTTGGTGTTTTGGTGTTTTGGAGTCTGGACTAAGACTCGCGCGGACAGGTTTGAGATGCATGCGAGGTGCGACACACGCGCGACAGACATGCCACTACTGCGAGGGGCTGGAGTGACACACGCGTAAAACTGTGTGAACACAGCAAGTGGAGGCGAAAAAGAAACGTGACGGGAAGTGGAAGAAAAAAAGGCGGCAGTTCCAGGGGGGGCGCGGCCGCCTTTTATACTTTTTTGAGCAAGCGCAGTTGCAAACGGCTGTGCACGTGACATGCAGACCGGCAGGCGCGTATGGGGTGAGTGAGGCCAGACTGATATTAGCGGGTTTGTCTGTGAAGTGGGAAGAAGTAAATTCATATTTCGACAGGGCAAGCAGACTGGGGCTTTGGGAATCTGAGCTGGAGCAAGGAATTTGGAAGAGGAATACTGAATGGGATATTAATGGGGAAGATCAATGGGGAGTGTTAATGGGAAGTACTAATGGGAAGTATTAATGGAGAGTACTAATGGAAAGTATTAATGTGGAGTAATGGAAAGTATTAACGGAAAGTATTAATGTGGAGTAATGGAAAGTATTAACGGAAAGTATTAATGTGGAGTAATGGAAAGTATTAACGGAAAATATAAATGGGGAATAATAATGGGGAATGCTGAATGAGAAACGATGAATGGGAAAGATTTATTGACAAAAGATGAATGAGCAATCTTGAATGGGAAATGTTGAATGGGACAAAGGAAAGAACGGCAAACAAAACAGAAAAAGGAAATGACACGCCCCACAAGGGCAGCTGTCTAAATGCGTCTATTTATCCGGTGTCTAATAAAAAAGTGCTCCTACTCCTTGGCCATGGCCCATATTAGCCCCAACACAGCCACCAGCACCGCAGTGATGAGCTGTGTCTCTTTCTTGGTGACCTGATGGAATGTCTTGGACTCGTGCACCGACTTCAGGAACGGAATCAACACCACCTCCAGGGCCGGAAAACTGCCGTTCGCCGGGTGCACGCCGGCTGTTGCCACATCTTCCACGAGTGGCTCGTTGACGTCGGCCACCAGCACTTCTTGGACATTGCCAAAAAAGTCCGTGAGCCTCACTGTGGACACATCTCGCTCGAAAAGGTCTGTGCGGATGCCCGGGTTCGAGTGCACGTTTTCGTGCGTGAACTCAGCAAAGAGCTTGTCCATGGTGACCATGGAGTTCTTTTCGATTTTCTCGAGGAAGTCCAAAGTGTAGTAGGTGAATCTGTCGATGACCGCCACACCGACCTCCAAGTCCGAGTGGTGCGAGTACGACAGCTCATCGATGCGCGAGGACCCTACACTGAGAATGTTGGGCGAGTAGATCCGCTCGTACATGGTGTTGGCCTGGCAGGTGTCGATCATGAAGAAGATCTCGCGGTACCGCTTCTTCTCGTGCATCTGCTGGAACGCGTCAGCCAAGTCGTAGGCACCGATCTCCTCGGCGTCCTGGAACTTCAAGAACTCGTTGCCGCCGTGGCCCGTCAAGTACACAAACACGTTGGAGTTTTCGTCCGTGAGCAAGCGCTTGCTGCGCGGCTGGTTGGCGCCCCACCGGTCCGTGAGCAACCGGATGAAGTTTTCCACGGTGACCTCGTAGCCGCGGTAGTCCACCTCAATGTCGTCGCCGTAGAGGTCGATGGCCTGGTCCATGTTGTTGAAAATGGTGCCTGGAAAAGCGTTCCGCGGGTTGCACGCAATGTCATCGGCCAACATCAAGATGATCTGCGAGTCCGGGATACCAAGCCGCTTGACCGTTCGGTACAAGCTCAAGGTATTGGCCATGTGTCTGTAATTGAACCAAAACCGAGACGTCAGCACAAGCACGGCCCAGTTATTGGTGTGGCCCGAGGAGCTGATGACACGTTCCGCCTCCTCGGTGGTGGTGGTTTCGGCCAGCACACGCACCGTGAGGGCTGCTGCTAGCCAGATCCAGAATGCAGATAGAAGCATTCTTTGTGGGTGTAGTTTTTGTGTGCGTGGTTTTTGATGTTGCTTGTGGTGTGGGGGTTTTCGGAGTGGAATGTTTTAGGTTTTGAGGCCTGTCCGTGGTGGTGGTCAGCAAAACCAGTGCTCACAAGCAAAGTTTAGGCCTTGCGCGAAGACAGGCTGCAGGGCCAGTCGCAGTGCGAGCGCCCGGAATTCGGGCGGTTGATTATAATTCGGGCGGAGACTGAATGGTTTGGTCAGCTGGGGGGATGCTTTCGAGCTTTGGTATTGTCTGAGTCCAGTTTTTTCTTAAAGAGTCATCGAAAAGGTGATGTGCAGATCAGCATGCCCACAGATATGCTGAGACCTTGCACACAGATATGCTGAGACCTTGCAATGTGCTTTGCTGGACCAGAGGAATCTTGTTTCTGTAGCTTCCATTGGCTTGTTCCTTTCTGCATGCTTCATACTGTCTGTTTCTGTCTGTATGCGTCTGCCTTCATTTTCCTCTATGTGGTTTTCTCTCTGGCGGCCTACATCTTCTGCTGCCCCGTACCCGATATCCTGGCGGCTTTAGACTCGGTGCTTAGCCTAACACTAGCACCATCTAGCCGGGCCATTTTCATCTCTCTCTCTTTCTTTCTTTCTTTCTTTCTCTCTTTCTTTCTCTCTTTCTTTCTCTCTTTCTTTCTCTCTTTCTTTCTC